GTGTGCGGGATATACCGCGCCACCCGATTCGGCCGGCGTGAGGATGCGATTGACCCGGCCGGCCGGTGCTCGAGCGCACTCCCATGAAGGGATCATCCGTAGCGGTGCCGAGTATCGCATTGTGAGATGGGAGTCGCCGGACGAGACTATTCTTAAGTTCTTTCAGAGCGGGACTTACCAGGGATGTGAGTGATTGAGAAGAGATTTATGTAAGCCGCTCCGTGTGTGCGTATTGGATTCCAGGTACAGCGCTCCTGATTGTAAGGATATATCAATGTGTCTGGTCGCTACCTGGGTATTTACCTGGGCGAAATGGAAGCCATACAGTCTGTTCGATCTTATAACTCCCGATTCATTGGCTGGATATGTGAATTATGAGCTTTGTGGATGTAATAACACAGAGATGCCGTCAATATGAAGGTGTCGCCATTGCCAACCGGCCGTTGCTCATCTCTCTGCGGCGTTGCGTCGGCAGCCGTTGGTACAGACCCCCGTCTATCCGTTGGAACCGACGCTCGTCGCTCCGTCGGCCGGCCAGGTGTCGCGGGAGACGAAGCACATCCCGACGGCCATCGCCAACCGACGGAGAATGCCGGCCATCCGTCGAATGCGCGGCACCCTCACGGGCCTGACGGGCCGGCCGCGCCGAGGATTTTACGGGCCCCCGCGGCGGTGGAGGAGGGAGGGAGGGACGGAGGGTCAGGGGAGGCCGCTGCGGCTCCGCCGCCGCCGCCGGAGGGGCCGCCTCAGGCCACGCACCTGCAGTCGAGAGAGGAGAGGACCGGGCGCAAACAGACTGCCGGCCGGGCGGCAAACAGGCGCTCGGTGCACCCCGCCGCGACAGAGGTGGCTGCCCTATCGGCCCGTCTGCCCAGACCCAGACCCCGGCTCCCCTCCGCACCGCGCCCGCTCTACATCCCCTCTCTCTCCCTCTCTCTCCCCCTGGCCGCCGCTCTAGTGATCTACCAACACAGCCTGGTCTGGCGAAACCCGGGCAGGGCCGGCCGGCTGGTGAGGGGAGCGCCGGATGGAGGTCGGTGGGAGGGGAGAGGGTTACCTGCTGTGAGGGGGTGCTGTGGTCAGACGCCACCCGCAGAGATAATTGCCTCGTGCTCCGGCCAGTCATCTGTGGGTTTAACCGAGCGGCCGGCCGGCTGCCTGGCGGTGGTCGGCGGCCATTTTTGCTGCGATGTCTGCCACTCGCGGAATCCGGACGGCATCCGCGGCTCGCGGCTGATCGTAGACGGACAGCTGGCTCAGCGAGCCGGCCGTGCCGATGACGACAGTGGCGGCTGGGTCTGTAACGGCCGGCGGAGACCATTGATTGGTCTGTGACGGGTCTGAGGGCGGGTCCGACGGGTCTGTGAGGGCGGGTCTGACGGGTCTGTGATAGACCTGGGAGAGTATAGTTGTCTCTTATGCTGAAGTCAATCACATCTGCGATTGATCGATACCTGAATCGCAGAACTCCGTGGCTGACATTCTGCGGCGAGCGTTGCGCATTTTCCGCGCATATCTCGCCGCACCGCTCCTCCCTACTGTATTGCCCACTCTCACAATGACAGGAAATATATCCCTGCGACCGCCGCCACCGCCGCAGCCGCAGCTACCACCGAGCTGGGCTGCAGCTGTGGATTGGACAGGCTGTGACTGACGTGTCCCGTGTCCCCCGTGTGTTCCAGGTAAGCTGCCGCGGAGAGGGCACGGCACAGACTGACAGCCGACGTGCAGCACGTCACCGGTACGCCGCCAGCACGGCTGCACGCCGCACGTGCTCCTCCAAAGGTGACGTTCGCTGCGGCGCTGCACGGTGGCACGGTTTCAAGGGGAGGGAGACTTGGGTATAGGTATCGGCGCCGCGCGCTTTGCGACGGCCATTTGAGAGGTGTCAGAATTAGCATAGCGTGGGTACCTGATGTATTTGAATGATTGATATCATATTATAAGGATGACAACTGCAGCCCTCCTCATACACGACTATTGGTACGACTATTGGCTTTCCTATAGTTGAGTTGTTGTAGCAGTGAACTTCGGTATCAGGAGAGGAATTAGTCATCGGATATTAGAAGAAAATTTGCGGGTGATACTTAGACACTCTGAGACGTCATCATCGCCTGTATTTTAGAGAGCGCCTGTAGCAAGTCGCTACTCGCCTTCACTACGGGGGCGTTGCACGTCTCTAGGGCGGGCCACAGAGGTATCGTCCATCACCGCTGGCCCCTGGGATTGAGATCGTGCCGGCACGGCCAGGTGGCACCCGGATCCGCTAACTACCGTGCACCCCTGACGTAACGCTCGCAGTTACTGATAATTTCATTATGCACAAGGGTGTCATTATCCATTCTCATTACTTGCGTCACATCATATTATCATATGTTGGTTGCTATAATCCCACGGGCGGTGTTGAATTCTCACAGGGCGTCGTGTTACCTCACGCAGCCCTGTGGGCGCTGTTACCCCCGGTGTAACCCCGGGTGACCTCAGGTGACCCCGTGGGACGGTACCGGGGCGGGGCTGTTGTAGCGACGTCTGACTGACCAGACAGGGGGACGCCTGCCGGACCAGGAAGCGGTAGAGGGTGGGACTCGCTCCGGAGGTCTCACGGCTAGGATCCCACGGCGGGTGGGGTGGCTCCGTGACGTTTGTCAATAAACGCTCCGTTTGTGGCGGGTTAGTTACGGCCGCGTGAGTCTAGTGAGGATGGGGCGCCGTCAAGGAGGGGCGCCGTGGCGGTAATAAGCAATGGTGCGAATACGGACACCATGAAACTTTCCCTGGAAGTTCTGTCACTGCGTACCGTTATAGGCTCTCGCTATCCTGTGACGAATAGTACCGTAATGACACCTCACGCTTGGCTGCGGCGTCGTGGCCAGCCACTCCAGTTTTCTGGAAATATTACCGGACTTGTGTCATAATTTACCGGTCCGCTGCGCCCGGTCCCTTTGGATGAATGAGGTTATGTGGGACATTTTTGTCGCGGAGAATGTTTGGTATGCTGTTTACCGTCCCTTGCCAGCACGTATATCTCCGTGCCCAGTGTGGCGGAACCGCCCGCTGGGCTGGTGTCCAGTCTGGACCGTCCCCGCTCCTCCCCTCCCAGCACGACCCCGACCCGCCGGGGGTCGAGGACAGGCCGGCCCGCCCGGCACCTGTCCGGTGCACCCCCCGTCGTGACGCTTTTGTGGTCTCCTGCCCTGTGCGGCGCCCGCGGAGACTGCGCTAAAGCCGGTGTAGCGCCAGATTAGACGCTGGACACAGCGATGATGACGGGGCCGGTCGACTTGATCGGCAGGCTGTAATCGAGGCTGCGGTGTGGTGAGATCGGACTGATAGCTCCCCGGTTCGGTGCCGGACCAATCCGGACGGTGATTTGGGGTTGTAGCCGGGATCGTAAGATTGTAGAAGAGTGCGCGATAGAGTGGACGATGCCTGCCTTGGATTCGTCCACCTCATCAGTACCGGCGTCGGCTGGGCGGACTCGACACAGCTCTCTCCGTTCTGGCGCGGGTCAGCGGGGCCGGCCGAGGCGAGCGGCCGCGGCGGGCGGCCAACTCACCCATGGCAGAACAAAGGACGGCTCCTGGGCCCCCGGCTACCTGGCGCTCGCGCTGGCCGGCCGTCTCCGCTCCGCCGCGCATGCGCCGTGGAGTCGCCACGAGCGGCGGCCGCTCCTCCATGGGCCCGGCCGGTCGGCGGCAGAGCGTACGGCCCAGACGGACCGCGTGATGGGTCGGCTGTCAGCGCTCGGCCACCGAGATGGGTCGGCGGCGGGTGCCATGGTGGTCACGTTCGGCCACGCTTGTCTGGCCCAACTACCGGAAACATTGGGAGAGGTGGGGGTGGGCTCGTGCCTGCCGATAAGGGAGGGAGAGGCTTAGGGGCTCTCACAGGAGCGCAGCTCTGAGATCCGCGCGTGCTGTCATTGCATGACGTCCGCGCGTGTAAGATGCCCGAATTAGCATTGGTGAAATACGGCTGATCCTGGGCGTTGCGGCCGAGATACCGCCGCGATAATATTGTTGCACTCTCGGCGAGGGCTGTGTTGCTTCGCTAGCTCCGCTGAGGAGCCGTGCGGCTGTTGTTGGCTTAACTGAGTCAGTCGTCATGCAACGCGATCCCTCGGATGTTTACCGACTGGCCGTCGGGCGTCGTAGATGGAGTCATTATTTCGCGGCTGGCCGTCGTGCGAGCGCTGACCCGGCGTCGACGGCGAGTTGACCCGGCGTCGACGCCCTCAGGGCCGATCGTGACAGCGGTGCTGAGGAGCGACGGACGCCATATCAGGTCAAACGCCGCCCCCGCTTAAATGAATGGCATGAATGGTGTGCCGCCAATGGCTTGCCCACTGGGCCTCTGCATGCCGGCATGGCTGCAGCGGCCGCGAGCGGAATATGGCATTAGATGGGGTGGTGGGCCGGTGGAAGCAGGGCGGGTGACGGGCGGAGGGAGCCCGGTGACAGGCCCGGTTTGACAGGCGGTACCTGTCAATCGGGGGTGGCAGATCAGACGGACCCACCCACCGGATGCAGATTATGACCGGCGAACACAACTGGCCATGAATGCAGTTCATTGTCATGGGAATTTATTCGCCGAGCTGATTCAATTGTATTCATGGTATTCTGCATTCCTCCTGGGTACTTCCGACCAGTAGGTTATGATAAGAACGTCGTGCATTAATAAAATGACGGGTAAACAGCTTCCGCCGTGGTAGTCAAGATAAGCATCCTGCATTCGTTTGCATGGGCGAGCCTGAATCATGCGCGACGTGCAGATTCATCACATTTTATCACACCTGTCAGTGCTAATGACCCGCGCCACTCCTGGGGCGAATCCGCCGTCATTTTGGCCATTCGTCTCCTCTCTTCCCCTCTCCGTACTCTCTCTCCCGTCCCTCCGTCCGTCGGGGCGGCACGGGCGGCGGGCGGCGCGAACCGTGAGGTGTCTGGGCGGCCGTGGCCTCGGGCGGCGGCGGCGGCCGGCCTGGCGGCGCCGCCTGGAGCGGCCGGCGGCGGCGGCGGCGGCCCGCCAGCCGCCAGTGTCAGCACTGCGCGCCCGACGGTACGACGTGCCCCGCCGAGCTGCCGTACCCAGACGTACCGTGACCCCGTGCTTGAGCCGTACTCTAGCGCAGTCAGCTGATAGTCGAGCACTTGTGAACACTGCAGGACAGACAGTCGTGACCCGTGCGCTCGGACGGACGCCGTGAGATCGAGCGGAGGCGTGAGACTGATCGTGAACGCTCCGTGCACGTGCTATCACCGTCACGCCCGAGAACTATCGCGTCTCACTTCCTCGCCGTGTGAGCTAGCCACCTCCAAACCACCGCCACCCACGAACTCTGGTGTGACCTGAGGTGACCGGTGGGTCGCTCGGGGGCGGACTGGCGTGCACGGTGACCTGGCCCTGGGGGAGCCGACCGGCCGCCACGCTGGAAGGGCCCGGCGGCTCCGCGTGGCCGGCCGCTGCCGACGCCCAGTCGGCTCTGCAGGCTCGCAGGGATATGGTCTCCATGCTCAGTGGCGCCGTGTTTCCCATCAGGTGGGTCGCTGATGTCTGCTGGTAGTGAGAGAGAGAGAGAGAGAGAGAGAGAGAGAGAGAGAGAGAGAGAGAGAGAGAGAGAGAGAGAGAGAGAGAGAGAGAGGCGAGAGGAAAGGGTCTGACCGGTGTTTGCGGGACGGAGGGACGGCTTTGCATTCCGTCCGTCAGAGAGGGAGGGGAGCATTCATTCTGGCCAGGGTTCATAATGTCCAGGGTACGATATGCCCAGTGTCGAAATGGCCAGTGCCTTGAATGGGCCAGAGTTCATAATGTCCAGGGATTGCATGGTCCAAATGCGGCCAACTGGCTGCAGATAGGGTATATTCAAAGAAGCCAGGGTTCATAATGTCCAGGGCACGATGTGTCCAGTGTTCGAAATGGCCAGGGTTCATAATGTCCAGGACACGATGTGTCCAGTGTTCGAAATGGCCAGGGTTCATAATGTCCAGGGCACGATATGAACAGTCCAGTGTTCAAAATGGCCAGTGCCTTGAATGGGCCAGAGTGCATAATGTCCAGGGATTACATAGTCACTGATAGTGACGTCATTATGTAAAAAACACGGAACCAGCTCAATGCGAAGCAGTGCAGTGCCGAAGGCAATGCCTTAGGAGAGATTACAGGCAATAGTAAATCAAATATTTTTAGGTTAAGTGGTTATGTATCTGGCTTCAGGCCCTGATGCATAACTACTTAACCTAAAAATATTTGATTTACTATTGCTTGCAATCTATTCATGCGAGAAACTATTTCCTTATCCCCGGTAGGCAAACATCATTACCTTAGGTTAGGTTAGGTTAGGTTAGGTTAGGTTAGGTTAGGTTAGGTTAGGTTAGGTTAGGTTAGGTTAGGTTAGGTTAGGTTAGGTTAGGTTAGGAGGTTTGGTTTGGTTTGGTTTGGTTTGGTTGGGTTGGGTTGGGTTGGGTTGGGTTGGGTTGGGTTGACTATGTAATCCCTGGACACTATGAACTCTGGCCCATTCAAGGCACTGGCCATTTTGAACACTGGACACATCGTGCCCTGGACATTATGAACCCTGGCCATTTCGAACACCGGACACATCGTACCCTGGACATTATGAACCCTGGCCATTTCGAACACTGGACACATCGTGCCCTGGACATTATGAACCCTGGCCTCTTTGAATTTACCCTATCTGCAGCCAGTTGGCCACATTTGGACCATGTAATCCCTGGACAATGTGAACACGGGCCAATTCAAGGCACTGGCCAATTCGAGCACTGGACACATTGTGCCCTGGACATTATGAACCCTGGCCTAAACAATACGCACCCCAGATAGGGACGGGTCAAGAGGGTCTCCTCCAGAGGTGGGATGAAGAGGGGAGAGTTTGTTTTCCGCCTGAGGGGTTGAGGATGGGGAAGAGAAGGGTAGCTTAACCTGGTTTCGTGTATGTCCGGTGTAAATAGTGCTCAACGTGGAAGGAAGAGGATGTTGAGATTGGGTTGAAAGGAGCGGGAATCGAGTTTGTTTCTGGTAGACCATATTTTCCAATAGTCTGTCTGTCAGGAACTGAAATGATTAATGCGCCGGCGGGGTAAATATGGGATATCTGCACATCATATAAACGTAATTGTCACGTTGAAAGCTATCCTTTCATTCGATGATTTGCCTTTGCATGAATACGGCAGACGGCCAGCTACATGTGAACATTGAGTAACTATCAGCTGTTTCGATTGAAAACGCCTTTGCTGAGTGATCTTCTATTCTCTGCGTCAAACGGATTGTGTCATTTAACGAAAGACCTTCATTCAATCTACCTTCAAGCACGCCTTTGGTAGCTATAGTAATCGATTACCGCGTAGTGACAGTTCGTCGGGGTCACGGTCCCCGCCCGGGGTCAGCCCGCCGCCCCGGCCCGTGGCCGTGGGTTACGCTCCGCTGGCCACCGTTACGCCCGTCGTGTGGTGCGTGACCCGGCCGTCAGTGTGCGCCGACCCCCACCTGCGCTGGCCCCGTGCATCGGGGCTCAATCCTGTCCGGTGTTCAGCGCTCCGGGCGTGACTACCACGGCTGCTTTCAGTACGGTTCGATCAAACGCCGCTGTTGTCAATGTCATGTTCGATTACAGTCAGGAGAGTTTTTGTGGGATTATTGGAAATTAGTTTTACAACTGGTCGTTTTTGGTCAGTCGTGTTTTGCGGCTGTTTTTGTAGTTCGAGTCGGTGGTTGAACAGAACTCGTGCTGTTCTTGCTATGTGTCGCATTGTTCAAACGTCAATCGGAGTCGGCGAGATTCCGTGAGCTGCAGTGCGTTTCTGGGGAGTCTCGCTGTAACCAACATAACCACCGTGACAAGACGGTGACCGGGTATTGCCATGCCAGCGCGCGGTCACCCACTGTCCCCCCCCCCCCCCGGGCTGACCTGCGCCCTGGGGCGGCTCACACGGCCGACTGTAGCCGGCCGGCCGGCCTTGGTCACGCCATCCGCCGCACTGCAAGGCGGGCCCGGTCGGCGTAAAGCCTCGATCAACACCCGATTGCCGACGGCGGCTGTGTGTGTTGATGCTTTTTTAATGGTTGTTTCTGTTGTATTTGCCGGTGTCGCGTGCGGTGTGCATGGCTAATGCGGCCGGTTTATGCGCCGGTTCCGTCGCCGGCGCGCCGCTATCGCTGGCTCAGTCGTAACCGCCGCCGCCGCCATCATCGCCGCCGTCATCGGCTTCGTCGTCGGCTGGGTGACGATGTTGCAGTCGGCCGGACGGCCCATTAAGGCCAGTTCACGCCGAGCAGCTCGGCCCATGGCCGCCGAATTAGGTCCCCGCTTTCAGCAGCCATTAGACACTGGTTCGCCGGTTGTGCCGTTCACAATTGACACAGTCGCCGCCGCCCCACTGGTTACACCATCATAACCGCCCCGGTTCCCATTGCGGGCGATGGTTCCTGTCGCTATGAGCCTGCGGGCATGAGTTGGATCATTTAACCTGCCAGACAATTGAATCAGATATTTCCCAGACAATGATTCACGGGTCGTTCGATATGGAATTGCTGATACATTGATTTGTAATGACTGTGTATTAGTGTTGTCGGTATTTCATCAGGCATCATGCTGCTCGACACTCAATATCTATCTGCATGAAGTCCTGTTATCATTTAAACCCGCCCCAGGATATTGGTCGAATCACTCGAGTGGATCGCTGCCAACAATCAGCCGCAGCTGGGTGCGTCTGTGCAGATAAAACCACAGCGAAACGGACGTAGGCCAGCGACGGAGCATGGGACCGCATCCTAGCCGTGCTTCAGCCGAGCTAAAGGGCGTGCTCCGGGACGTGCTCTGGGCGTGCTCTGACGTGCGCGGCGGTGTCACGCCGTGCTCGCTCACCGAACACCGTCACCGTCACGGCCTCTGAGCGCCGTGACGCGATACCAAATCCCGCGCCCAAGGTCACAGTCAGTGGCACTATCGGGTGGCGCGCCTCCCCCCTCTGCCTCACGTGCCTCACCGCTCTGCCTGTCGGATGCACTGTGGCCAGATTTCACCCCGGTTATCGCAGCTGTTGAATGGCTACCGGGCTTATGTGGGAGTCCCGAGACACAAGTGTTCGATTGGCATATCTCGAGCTCAGTTATTCCAAGTACGCTGACATCGAATGGCTGCATGATAGAGCGTTGATACATCCATTGAGTTGCGTCAGGCGTATAATAGTATGGGATTAGTTTGATGGTTTGACGTGCATGCTATCTGGCATCCCTGCATTGTTCTGAATTTCAAAAGTAAGTGGAACATGTTAAATGGGCTTTATCGTTTCTTTTTCTCGGATTACTTTTGAGTACTATTTATTCTCTGCAAGTACTTGTGTGAAGAAGTGTGTTACCAACGATCTATGATTGCGCTAAGGACCTCGAAATCTTAAACGACGCTGGTATCTACCTTATCCGCTCTCAGTTTTGTGAGGACAATTTCACTGTAACTCACAAATCCGCCAGCCTCTCGCTAGCTTATGACTCACGACTTCTGAATGCCCGGCGCACGGTGATAATACCTAAACCATCGCACCGTCCAAGTGGACACAAAGCCGTCTAGATCAGGGGTCGGCAAATGGTGGGGCATGCCCCCTTTGGGGGTAATGGAGCCCTTTCGGTGGGGGTAATGAGGGATTCTGAGAAAACTTATCTTTTTGGAGTTAGTGGCTCCATTGATGAAACATTCGTGACTGTTGCATTCCAGGGTTCAAAGATTAGCCCCGGTCAAAGGCACAGCACACATTGATTAGATACCAATTTTCACGTAGCTGCTCGCCTCACCATCTCAACGCGGCTCCGTACAGTCGTACAAAAGCAGCTGCAATTTTTAACCGTCGCCCGTCTGTTGGCGTCTCCACAGCCGCTAACGTAAGGGGGAGGAGCCGATCGGACCCCCGCGGCCTCTCGGACTCTGAGATGGAGCTGTGCATAAAAAAACGAGCGTATTACCCGTGACTATAGGAAGCCGCTGCTGCCCATTTTTAAGGTCCTTCGTCATTTCGTCTCATTCAGGAGGTCAAAGATAAGTGTCGAGAAAATCGGGACCCGCTATAACTTCTTGAAGTGAGATTTTATGGCTCAAGATGATCTCCAGAAAAAGCTCATAAGCCAATCATGATCATTATGGGTCCAGAGGCCACTTTACCGACATAAAAATAGCCGCCTGCCGGAATTTTTCGCCTAAAGACCGCTTCACATACGGTAAAGCGTAAATACGGTAAGCGGTAAAGCCCTATCCACTTAAATGCTCATCGCGCTTACTCATCGTATGTGAAGCGCATGCTCATCGTATATGCAGCGGTTTTTAGGCAAAAACTTCGGCAGGCGGCTATTTTTCTGTTGGTAAAACTGGCCTCAGGTTTTCCCAGGCAGGTAAAGAAAAAAAAATGCTTGGCTCGAGGGTACAATTTGGTCGTGATCCAACGGCTTTTACGTGAGCTTTTAATGAAAAAACACCCGCCGCCCCTATATGTACAAGGGTTAAATGGGATATATTAAATACTTTGTGGAGGAAG